TGTTTTTCACCATTGTAACTCAAAAAACCATAGTATATCTATTAAAAACACAGTCATTTTAAACAAAGAACCCAACATAAACAAATGAAAAATCAAGGAATCCATCTTAGTTGAACCAAACAACCCTACTCTAAACCAACACCCCGGGGTGCATAGATACCGCTTTTATGTGTTGCAACAGTTCCGGTCATTTGACTTCCTTGTTCAATAGTGTGTGTATATATATATAGAGAGAGATATATATCCGTGTCAGTGTAAATTACTTGTACCTGATGATGACAAAACCTTGTCGAAACGCTTTACATTTGCCGTTAGGTTAAACTTATATTAAAGTTTTTCTTCATTACCCATTCAAGCCGTCTCCAACCATTAATAGCATAATGATGTTAATCTACTGTTAGATTGGGTATGCATAACATGATTGGGTATAATGATGTTAATCTACTGATGCTATGTTAGATTGGGTATAATGATGTTAATCTACTGTAACATAGCATCAGTAGATTAACATCATTATACCGGTTCGAGAGAACGAGTGGCATGATACTAGTCACGTGACCTCGCTGACACAACAGTATTTTCTTTTTACATAAAACAAATACAACAACTGTATAGCTTAACCACCCTCTGTATATGTATTAATAGTTTCTTAACTATTATATTTGAGACATGAAAAGGATAAATAGAATGAACAGTTTCATAAGAATGTGATATTTTCATGTACAGGTGTAACCTTTAAACATCCCATAGTTTGTTTTTTCACCAAATGCTGTACATAATTCACTGAATGTTTTAGGATTTACCTAAGCTTCAGAAATTTTCTAAGTAGTGCCCTGTCTTAAGAATGTAGAACAATTTAATCTTCTCCTGTACATGCTATAAAAACAAATATATTTATGTTTTTATTAATTTACCTAAAGTTTCAGTAAGTGGAGGTTACAAAATAAATACCGATCTTTTACTCCAAACTGAAAAGAGTCAACTGAAACTGTTTTAATTAGTGATTGTCTGTAGTAAACAAGAGATAGAACTGTTTCCTATACAGCACACATCCCAGCTAACTTTCTGTGTATTAACACAAGTGTGTTCATAAGCTGGAATTAAGTCACCTTCAAAGTTTGAAGTTTAGTCAGAAACAACTAAGTAAATCAACGTTTTATAGTTACCAGCTGCTACAGGCTGAATTTTGTGTGTTTATACATGTTTGCTAGTTACCTTTTTTTATTGTTGTTGTTGTGTATATGGCTTATGTTTACAGTAAATATATATTTCTTTTTCTGAAGTCCTATGAAGATTTGGTGGCTAGACTGGAACCTGTCATCATGGTAAGTCATGCTAGCAAAGGTTAAATTCAGATTTAACAATTTATTCATGCTTTTAAATTGCTTATGTGTAGTTAAAAACAGCCTCATTGTGATTAATACATGTGTAATTTTCTATTTTAATTTTTAGTATAATGGGTTGATGTTTGGAAGTTATGTTAGTCTCTGCTGAATTTCAAAGAAGCGTAGAAGTGCAAATGGTGTATGGTAGGGCAATAGTTTAAACACCTGTCCTTACCCCCTTTATTTTTATTATTGTTTTTCAAATGCTTTATTAAATTATTTGCTGTTAAATGAGGGAACACGTGCTACCCCAACACGTGCTACTTCCACAGTTATTTTCCTCAGCTTTATAACATTTGCAATTTTCCAAATCTCTCTTTGCTTTGCTTTTTGTTTTATGTGATTTGGAACAAAAATCACTGTATCTTAAAATCTGAGAACGAAAACAAGTTCGTCTGCCACACACTTTTCGATTGTTTACTGTATTAAACACTGGTTTTGAAACACGTGGTAGTGTTTACAAAATTCATTTATCAATGTATATTTGTACAAAAAATGGAGTTTTAATACCTTTGTACTTAACTTTTGTAACAATAATATCATGGAACTATATATGTACATTTACATATTTTGCTTAAATTTTCATGCTTTTTCTTGCTCCTTTAGCAACTAGAGAGGCAAGAGAATGTACTAGTAATATCTCACCAAGCTGTACTCCGCTGTGTGCTGGCTTATTTCATGGATGAAAAATCTGGTGAGTCAGAAAAATGTTACAGACTTTGCTTTTCTTACGTTACAAGATAATCCAAACAATCCAGTCACTATATTTCAGTTTCCAGCTTTCTACTTGATTAATTAACACACAAATCTTAAAATTAATCAAGCTATAGAAATGTTACTTGCCACAATGAATTGTAGAAGGAGCTATCACCATGTTTTGAATATTTTTCACAATATGTTAAACACAGAAATGGATAAACTTAGGCAAACGTTTATGTTGCACGCGTGTTGTTTGTTTATTTTTATGATGAGTTTTATTGCTTCGTATGCATGTTCCTCCATTTTGTAAATAAACAAATTGAAAAAAAGAAAGATCTGCATAAACCCAGCTATGCCTAAAGTTCTGAATCGACAAACAAATCATACTGCATAACTAAGACTTCAGGCATAAGCAAAGAAATATAATTACTGAATTATCTGTGTTAGTTCCAAGAAGGAAAATTGTTTAATAACTTAAATTACTCTTATACAAGATTCTTTGGACATGTACTACTAAGGGCACATGAGATTGTAATCAAAGTCATTTATAGCCAGAACAACAATCAACAGTACTTGAGATTGGAATCCAAGTCATTTATAGCCAGAACAACAATCAACAGTACTTGAGATTGGGATCAAAGTCCTTTGTAGCCAGAACAACAATTAGCAGGATGTGAGATTGGAATCCAAGTCATTTATAGCCAGAACAACAATAAGTAGGATGTGAGATTGGAATCCAAGTCGTTTATAGCCAGAACAACAATAAGTAGGATGTGAGATTGGAATCCAAGTCATTTATAGTCAAAACAACAATAAGTAGGATGTGAGATTGGAATCCAAGTCATTTATAGCCAGAACAACAATAAGTAGGATGTGAGATTGGAATCCAAGTCATTTATAGTCAGAACAACAATAAGTAGGATGTGAGATTGGAATCCAAGTCGTTTATAGCCAGAACAACAATAAGTAGGATGTGAGATTGGAATCCAAGTCATTTATAGTCAGAACAACAATAAGTAGGATGTGAGATTGGAATCCAAGTCGTTTATAACCAGAATAACAATCAGCAGGACTCTTAACCTTCTTGTTACTAAGTTATCTAAAATATTTATACAGCACATGATAAACAATTTACATATACAACTCCTGATTATTTTAAGAAATGTATCTGTGATGCCCATGAAAACAATCCAATGATTCATCTTAATTAAGTATTATAAGATGTTGGATCAAAATTTGTCCATATTGAAAAACTGGTATTCAACCTATTGCAAATATATAATGTATCCATTATTGGTTAAGCAAAGTCATATTGTTGCGTCAGCGAGGTCACGTGACTAGTGTCACGCCACCTATTTTCTAGAAATATCTTGTTCCTTCGTGAATGCCCTAGCATTTACTAGATATATGTTTGTCTGGTATATATATAAGACGCTCACAACGTGACGGGACAATGTGTGTGTGTAGGTAGTGAGTAATTGAACTGTAGTCAGAAAGTATTGTTGAAGTTAACGTTCGTTGTTAAAACGTTTGTTATAGAGCGACTGTTGAAAATAAGTGTATCGGTAAAGTTATATTCAGAAAGAATAAACCAGTTTTATTAAGTAAGGACTTGTGTCTCTAAAGTTTTGTCGGAACGAAGTTACGGAAAATCAATTAACAACTGGAGGCGTAACAATGTGATGATTTGAGCTCAGAATTCATTTGTTGTGCTACAGTCCAAGCTTAAACTTTTGCTCTCCTAAAAACAATGAACTGTAAATAGACAGTGCCATCAACCAAATCACAGGCAGTAATACATAAAATTTAGAGTGACAGGTTCCCAGATGGATGGCAGAAAGCAAAGTAACTTCAAGGTAAGACCATAACTTTGACATATGCAAGACTGAAGATAAATGAGGAGTCTGCCAAGCTCACAAAAGAGGACACTTTACCAATTCTAGTATAACTCTTCTGGCAGGATATCAACTTCCTCAACACTAGTGAGGTCAAAGCAGCAACCATGAAAGATCTTGACATTTAGAGAGAGTGAGACTGATGGAAAGTACCATATGGTATAGATAGGAAAAACAAAAGATGGGGAAATCAGTAGCATATCCTACAAGGTCAGAAGGCCACTAGTACCATCAGTAAAGGAAGTCTTTCCCATCTCCTACAAGGTCAGAAGGCCACTAGTACCATCAGTAAAGGAAGTTTCATCCACGTCCTACAAGGTCAGTAGGCCACTAGTACCATCAGTAAAGAAGTTTTATCCACATCCTACAAGGTCAGAAGGCCACTAGTACTATCAGTAAAGGAAGTTTCATCCACCTCCTACAAGGTCAGAAGGCCACTAGTACTACCAGTAAAGGAAGTTTCACCACTCCTACAAGGTCAGAAGGCCACTAGTACCATCAGTAAAGGAAGTTTCATCCACATCCTACAAGATCAGAAGGCCACTAGTACCATCAGTAAAGAAAGTTTCATTTACATCCTACAAGGTCAGAAGGCCACTAGTACCATCAGTAAAGGAAGTTTCATCCACATCCTATAAGGTCAGAAGGCCACTAGTACCATCAGTAAAGGAAGTTTCATCCACATCCTACAAGGTCAGAAGGCCACTAGTACCATCAGTAAAGAAAGTTTCATCTACATCCCACAAGGTCAGAAGGCCCACCTCCAACAAAGCAACTGACCTCAACATGAAGGGTTATCAACTGTTGGCATAAACCTTGTGTTTTTCATGAAGTACTCAACTCAAACTTCAAACATTGAGAGTCGAACATCATGCTTCCAAGCTTTTTCACCAACAAAGTGGCATCAGATAAACTTCAGACTAATTATAAAAAATAAGAGCATTTGTCAACTGTTTTAATATTACATGTAAGAAACATTATTTTCTGTGAAACTCTTACTAACCCTATATATATATTTATTTTCTGGTATAGAGGACCTTCCTTACCTGAAAGTACCATTACACACAGTTTTTAAGTTAACGCCTGTAGCATATGGATGTAAAGTTGAACAGTTCACTCTACCAATAGATGCCGTTGACACCCACAGAGAAAAGCCAGAGGTGAGCAACAAAAGCTTTGATATTGAGATATGAGGTATATAGAAAGATAGCTTGGATATTTCGTCTACTGATTTTATTCCATACTAACTCTACTATTTTTTGGAATATGCTACATATTTTTTCTTTATCTTTCAGTTTTTCTAACAAACAATAGTGTTTTATGTTTCTTTAAAATTCTTTTTTTTTCACATATTTTTCGTAATATTGTTGTGATAAGCTAGCAGGTATTTCGGTCTCTCGATATATAACTGTACTACTACCACCACCTGACAGTTTCCTCAAACGTCTTAAATGATGTTTGAATTCAATCTCAACCAAAATTACTGTTGATAAGTCTTGTTCTTTAATTTTAAGCTATACAGCTAATTCAACTTTAGCTTTAAACACATTAATCAAAATTCGTGGGTTAAAGTAGCTATTTTTTTTATTCCACAGGTTCCTGGAACTATAATGTAGACGAGACTAAACAATTTGGATTCTTAGTAACAATACCGAGATGAAGCAGACGATACATCTATATTTCATATTCTATCGGACCACGTAATTAAAAATTAATGCCAGAGAAGACTTTGTTCTTCCTCTTACCTATTTAATCGCCTTTTCTCATTGTATTTATAGATATATATATATATATATAAATGTACGTGAAACAGTGGAAGTAAACAGAGGAGAACATGCCACTCGGACCTCTCTCTAAAATGAAGTTTGCTCATCAGCTGAGTTTTGGAAATATTGTTATATAAATTAATTGTAGCTTTGGTCAGCCAACAGTCTTAACTTATTTGTGTAAGGGGAGTGGAGGATTAGAACTGATTAATAGAATACCTTAAGTTTTGCTATTTTTATTTTCTTTATTTTTCTATATGGTTGATAACCTTATGTAGTACACATTATTATTGTTACATCTTTTATTACAGTCTAATATATGATGAACAAGTGACGATTGGGTTTAATGATGTAACGTTAGATTGGGTATAAGGATGTTAATCTACTGATGTTATGTTAGATTGGGTATAATGATGTTAATCTACTGATGTTACGTTAGATTGGGTATAAGGATGTTAATCTACTGATGTTATGTTAGATTGGGTATAAGGATGTTAATCTACTGATGCTATGTTAGATTGGGTATAATGATGTTAATCTACTGATGCTATGCTAGATTGTTCGTGAATTGTCGGGAGATTACTAGATATAGGGTAGTCTGGTATATATAAGATGGTCACAACGTGACGGGATCAATGTGTGTGTAGGTAGTGAGTAATTGATCTGCAGTCAGAGAATATTGTTGAAGTTCGTTATAGCGTTTGTTTTAGCGCGAATGTTGAAATCAAGTCTATCGTAAAGTTATATTCAGAAAGAATAAATCAGTTTTATTAAGTAAGGACTTGTGTCGCTAAAGTTTCGTCGGAACGAAGTTACGGAAAGTTAATTAACAAACGGAGACGTAACAATATTTCAAAATATGAATTGGGGTATGAGGCCACGAACAAATTCTCTTCTATATTCTCATTCTAATATTAATGTTTAGAACAATAAGAAAATTCTTCAATTTATAGTAACAGTGATAACTGATTTGATATATTTGGAGTTTCTTCTATAGCTAATATTTAATTGTCTTACCAGCAGCGCCGTAAATAATATACTTTCCATTATTTTGGACGTTCCACTACTTCATTCGACTCCAGAGAAATATTTTTATGATCTTCGAAAGACTTAGCAACATTCCATTTGTTGCGAGGCAAAGCTCATTAGTGTAACATTCACACTATGTTTACAACCAGGATTGAAACTCGAATTATAGTGTTCTAATCCCTCAAATTTACCGTTCATCCGTCAGAGGTCAACAATGTTTCGTTTTCATATTTTTTTTTATAAAATACAAATGGGTACAAAATAAGAATAAATCATTAATGGACTTTAAAACAAGAAGAATGCACTCTTCTTCCGACAATGGCGATTTTGTTCACCATTTACAGCGAAGAAAGTGTTTTAAAAAGAAATTGAACATGATTCCCTAATTACGAGGAAAAAATAATTAAAAGCATTGGCTTTAGTGTATCTTTTATAAAAATAAGAAATTGACTGCTACTTTCGGGTTTTATGTATACGCCAGATTCTTTACAGTAGGTGTCTGCGACTTTTTTGGCGATAAATTTCAACAATAAACAACCAGCACACAGTCTAGTTGTAATTAAAACACGTCAAACTTATATGCAAATGTTCGTTACACTGCTGCTTATCACAGTTGTGTCCAGAACTATACGTAATTGTCTCTTTTCTCTCAAAGTCCACACAGACTGGTTCAGTTAATTTAGAACACAATTTGACAAGACAAATTATTCTTCCTGCTCTGTTATTACAATAGATTTTAAGCATTATAAGGAATTATAACACATACTTCCACCAAATTTATGACAGTTAAGAATGAGTAACTTCCTCAAACTATTGTTACGTCTCCGTTTTGTTAATTAACTTTCCGTAACTTCGTTCCGACGAAACTTCAGCGACACAAGTCCTTACTTAATAAAACTGGTTTATTCTTTCCGAATACAACTTTACGATACACTTATTTTCAACAATCGCTCTATAACAAACACTATATCAACGAACGTCAACAATACTTCTGACTGCAGTTCAATTACTCACTATCTACACACACATTACCTTCCCGTCACGTTGTCACCCTCTTTTATATACCAGACTACCCTATATCTAATAAACGCTAGAACATTCGCCAATGTACAGGATAGTTCTAGAAACGTGGCGTCACACTAGTCATGTGACTTCGATGACGCAACAATATATACAAGACTAATACATATCTAGTAAATGCTAGGGCATTCTTGAAGGAACAGGATATTTCTATAAAGAGGTGGTGTGATACTAGTCACGTGACCTCGCTGACGCAACAATATGTTGTTGTTGTTTTGCTATTTAATTTTTAAACAGTGGTATAAGTTTGAATTCATATTGTGTGTATAAAGTCTACATCTTATATTTCTGTTTCGTATTAGTAATATTTAAAATTCAAGAAAAGAAATAACTGTGCGCTGATTTCTACAAAATAAAGATAATACGAACATTAATGGAAATCCAAAATGATTAAATAATAGGCATAAATATTCAATCTATGTAGTTGATAATATGAATATTACTAGTATGTGTTAAATAAAACAAAATTGTTGAGTGTTTATATGTGTGCAATAAATTATAAAATTGCTTTATATACTTCACATAATAAACAATCATTATAATTAGTTTCATTGCCTTTATTATAATGAAAATAAATAAATATAAAGAAATATTTAACCGAACAAAAATTTCTGCCATGGACTCACTTTTAAGTTTTCCTATAATAGAAACAACTTAATAAGGATCAGATATTAGTAAATAAATACATGTTAAATCGGAACGAGCGTCACCTTTTGGAAAATTTAAAAGTTCCACGATGGTTAAAGAAACGCATTTGTCGCAGGGCGGGTAATATATTCTAGAGTTCGAATATATTTGTGTTGCAGAGATAATAAAAATATGTGTTAGCTGTAAGTGATTTGGTTTTTGCCAACCATTCTGCTTTCATGTAATAATTTTTAAGTTAGAAAAATATTACAACGTTACTCAGTCCTTTTATGTTTTGTTTGGAATGTCACATCGTCTTTGTCCGTTGCTCTCGTTGTAATTTGCAGAGCGTAATTACCATGTTATTGTTAGGGTTAACTATGTAGTAATACTAGTATCGGTATGTCTATGAGTATCACTCGCTGTACGAGTCGGGTTTTAATTAAAAAATAAATAAATTTAATTTAATACTTAATCTCACCGTGGTGTTAGATCCAAACATTGAAACAATATTTCTGTTTAACTTTAACTAGATGACTGTGTTTGATATAGTTTTCTAAATTTCATTAAAAGTTTTGATTTGCTCATTTTTCTGTTTTTTATTTTGGGTTTATAGTTTTACGGCAATTGCAATTGCAGTGTAAATGTTAGTATTACTGTTATTAATAACTTTTAATACGTCACATGTTTTCACTTTTTATTAAATAATAATAGGTTTGCAAACAACGATTTATAAGCATAAGGAAGCGTTTTATTTTTGGTGGAACAAACTGTTTCGACAGAACATTGGCCTCTCTATGATCTGTACTATAACTAAGCAACACAGGGTTTATAAATTATACTATTTATAGTACAGATCATACCTGAATAAAACACCAATGTTCTTTCACAAAATCAATAAAACTCTTCTTTATGCTTATAAATTGTTGTTTGCCTACCTTAGTACCTATTATTATTAATATATTAGCATAATGTTCTTCCTCATTCAAGTAATTTTCATTAAACATATACCATGATACAAACAAATTTAACTTAATACTTTCATTCTTGTCAATGAAATGCAAAAAGATAAAGTTTTAGGTTGACATTTAAATATTATTTACTTCCCAGAAAATGGCCCTTGTTTTATAACTTGGGTTATCATTAAGGTCAGTTTTCTTATTTTTCGTTTTATTTGTTTGTTAAATGTAGAAACTTTTGTATGTATTAATCCTCACAGAAGAATACCCAACATTCTGGAAATAATGTTAAAAAAAGTTGTAAACAAAAGGTTTTGAAGCAGTATTTGCTATGATTCATTTGGGTCACGGGGAATTGTATTTATTTTAGTTTCAATACGGAAGAAACTAGTTCCTAGTTTTTTCTTAAGATTCCTGTTCAGGAGCCTAAGTGAAAGCCAATAGAATGGTAACAAACACCAAGCCCTAGAGATTAGTTGTCTGCGCTGTTTCTCGAAGGGCCTGAAGATGGTACAGTTAATAAGTTATGCCTTTCCTGTGTTACCATTAGATGCTTGCCTATTTGCGATTAATGTCACAAGTTGGTCAGCAGAAAGTTCTGTTATTCCCCATATTAGCAGTAGGAATCTTTAAAAGTACTGAATAATGGCTGAGTTTATTTTTTGTCCCCCGATTTGTCTTCTTTTACTGTGTTCATGCTTCGTAGTATGAAAGTATGTAGCACAGTAAATGATAAAAGAACACAATATCGTGTTCCCGTTTAATGTGGTTTTCCAATTATGTAGCACAGGTTGTATCTTGGTGAATTTTCTACTTCCTCACTGATAGCACTCTTCTGGAAGATGTTGAATATTATAATTGTTATTTCTTCACTGACATTTTATTTACATTGTTATTCTGCAGAATTGAACATCCTTTTAATATTCTAACCAATGGCTTGTAATTTGGATTTATTATTAATGCCTTTTTGAAACATCTAGCTGATGTGAAAATGGTACAGAAATACTCACTCATACAATTGATCATAACATCGTGGATGTCTGATGACATCGTGGATGACTTTTATACATACAAATTCATAGATAATACTGTATATTGAAAATATTTCGATTTTAGTATTTCAAATATAGCATTGGGTCAATAACAAGGCTGAGAAATATTTAAGTTTCCACTATGCTTGATATTATCCCTCCTTTAGCATTAATGGCATAAACGGAGCCATTGGAATTGTTACATCTTGCTTAAATATAATCATTGTGATAAAATGATAAACGTATGCTAACTTTTGTGAATAATTGAAGTTGAGACACAGTCATCATTAGAATTATTATATCATATTCTGTGCCTACAAAACTTTGCAAAAATGTACTAATGTTTGGTTTCAGAAGAGCATGTTGGGATATGTACATCCTAATTTATTTTTTTATGTGTTTGATGTGGTTGGAGATTTATACAAATTTGCATATCTTTCTACTGATAGATTTTTAGATCTGAAACAAGGATGGGGATCAAGTTTATATAGATTAAAAATATCTAAACATTTTTTAGGTCATTAAATTCAAATTAGTTATTCTAATCACGTTTATGGAAATTTTAAGAGTGCACACTGTTTATTATTTTCCACAGGAAACATTTTTAGATGTCGGAATATGGTTGGTCCTTATAATACACCATTGTCCAGACTTAAAAAACAAGATATACACCAACGACCATTTAGATCTTCTACCCACCAGAAACTAAGACAATCTAAAGGACCTGCTGGGAAAAGTGACTTAAATAACGAAGAAAGTCCTCAAACTACTGAAGCAATGGATGAAGGTGTGTTTAACTTTACTGACTAGCCACGAGAAAACATGCTTGTAAAATAAGGCTTACTAGCCATTATTTCCTCCCACCATCTCAATTATAACCTTATTTACAGATAATAATAATATCTAATAGTAAATACAAATATATTAAACGTATTTCTATGTAAATAATTGTTTTACAGCTATACATGTCTCTTCATTCTGAAAATAATGTATGGTTGAGATTTTAAAAATGTACATTCTTTAGAATATTGAATGAAGAATAACATATAAATGTAGTTTTAAACTACAGTTCATATCTTTGTAACGAGACCGAGTTTTATATTTTATCACATTTAAATATTACCCTTGATTAGTTTGGAAGTGAAATCGAGAACCATAAAAAATGGTGGAGGGTTGCTAAACATGTGACATGCCAATCCATGGTATTCATTCTTCTTGTTTCGGGTTTGCACTCGTGCATTTCATAGTAAACAAAACTTACAGTCTACTTTATAGATACGGGAAGCAGCAAGTTGATTGCATATAATTTTTAAAATGTTTACTTGACCCCCCCCCCCCCACGTTTTGGCATTCCTTCCTGGGTGGTTGAAGAGTCTATACATTGCTTACAGTTGGAATACCACAGCTACAGTTCTGTGAAGATACATCATATTTTCATATGGCATGCTGCTTCTGTAGACAGTTTTTAAGGTTAAATTATGATACATGTCAAACACCCACCAAAGGTCCTCCTTAATGATCATTGCTGACATAAACATTTGCTGTATTTTTGACTCACAAAATTGGAGCTCAGGTTAGCTTAGTTTGTGTGATTTGCCTGTAACATTTTCAATCACTTTACCACCTTTAGCTCTTAATTTAAGGCAGATACAGCTAGTAAAACCATTTTAATCAGAATGCTATTCAGGGATCGAAATATTACATTCCCGAGGAATTTTATTTTTTTAATTGACATTCCTGATCGGGAATGCATGGTCCATCCCGTATTTCATTAGTTATGACCAATGAAAGTGAACATATTGCATGGATTAAATTTTAAAAAAACAATTCATGAGGAAATGCAACTCTAAACGAGAGAATGTAATCTTCCTGATAGATTTCCTTCAAGTGAATGTAATATTATTTCATTATTCCTATCCCTGCTATTACATGTTGATAAGTTTGAATCAGTAAGATATTAACATGCAAACGGCAAGTGTAAACCACAGCATGAAGAAGAGTGCTAATTCTCACAGTTTCTATCAAAAAAGATAAAATCACTGATGCTTGTTGCTGTTGCGAAGCAGGGTAAGTAAAAAAATGTACTATGCAAAAGGTAAAAATAACCTGGTACTCCTAGAACACCGACTTGATCTGAGCTACTAACTACCGAGACCTTGAATTGTATATAACAAGAGATTTATAAATGTGATTTGAAAGCTTAGCTTCTTGGAAAAAAAAAATTATTATGTGTATTTTGTAATAATAATTTATAACTTGAGGTAAATGTATGTGCTTTTATAGATCTACAGTTCAGTTTACTCAGAATGAGACCCCTACCTTTTTCAGAATTTCTTTCAAAAATTAATTTGCCTTCAAATTTTCACATTGAATCTTAGTTGAACCGGTGTGCGAAAAATTATTTTTCAATTTTGGACAATGATGTTAAAGCCAAAAAGGAGATTATCAGGAAAAAAAATGTAGTAATTTTGGCCTTAGTCAAAATCTCCAATTTTTTAATTTTTTTGCTTTGAAATTACATTCAAATATTATCAATTATTATAAAATTAAATTCAAAATACCACACACAGTCTTTCATGTGATTATCCTTACAAATTTTATAAACAAAATTCATCAGCTACTCAAAACTAAAGGATCCAATTTGAAATGAAATAACTGTAATTGGCCAACACTAAAATTTTGATGATAGTAAGTGCTTTGGTTTAGGTTATATAATTCTTCTATCTTTCTGAATATGTTTAAATTTTCTATGTCTAAATTAAGAGTACGGGAATCATCTTGTATACCATATGTTGTGATTATAAGTTAAAATTCAATTTTTATAGAAATGCATATGTCTTGCCTTTTATTGTAAAGTATGATTTTTGCACTAGTGAAAGAAAATGGAAAAATATAACATTCCATCTTAAATTATAGCAACCGAAGTATCGATCATACAGATTAAAATAAAACTGTGTACAATTTTGTTATAGCAAGATCATAGCACGATATTGTTCAATTTGGTTTCAATATGTCAGTCATAACTTTTTTTATGCAAAATTTGTTCACTAATAATTCACGGTCTTAGCCAGTTTGCATTATTGACCTAACTTTCCTGAACAATATTACAAATTATATGAAACTGTTGTGAATTTGACATGTGGTTAAATTTTCTATGGGTGGAGCAGTTTAACCGGAAATAAATCTGGTTTCCAGAAATTGAAGGTTGTATCACAAGACTTGTTTGCCAGCTAAAACGACCCACAAGTGGCACATAAACAGTTTATAAAAATGTGTTAAAAGCCAATGGGTTCCTTATAGGTTAAAACAAGGCATTAACCAACAGGAAGACCAAATAATCAACACTGTGAATAAGCACAATGCACAATTTCTGTACCGTTTCCTTTAGATCATAATTTGCATTTGGCAAGTAAAATCCTGGGTTCTCTTCTCTACACACACACATACACAAAAACGTGTGTTGAAGGAGTTAATTGTTATTCAATCACGTGAAATTTATAACATTATTATGGAATCAGCCAATTCTTGATAGAGTGAAACTAAGATTTTGTGGTCTGAAGTAGTATTATACACTTAATTAATGCTTAGCATACTAACTGTGCTGCTTTTTTTAAAATTTCAGGCATAAAAATCATGTAAATATTTTTCATTATTTAATTCTCAATGAAATAAAACATAACACTGCTATTTGTAAACCTGTTATTGTGATCTGTGTCAAGTAATAAAAAATAATTAAGAAAATACCCAGCAAGAGACAGATAATCTGATTCAAACAAGCAAATGGTGCTTGAAGTTCTAGTAATGTTTATCTGATGCAAATGTGTCCTGTCACATATAGCAAATGCTGATTGGATAATCCGGCATACTTGATTAATAGACTGTGATCTACTTTTGAATATTTAGACCAACTTCTATCAGTTTTATCTCTTCTCTACTGAGTTGCTGGTACCGTGTTTCAGCATTTGGTCTTTGTAATTGATGCATGTAGTCTTAGAAAACTCTTGCTTGTATTCCTGCGTGCCGCCATGCACCACAGCATCTCGCATGTTTTCAGTCCTTGTTCAACCACGATGTTTATCCATTCCCATAATAATGGCGCAGAAAAGAAAAGTGAATGAAAGTGCATCAAAAGACAAAATAATTTGATGACTATAAAAAGTTGAATTATTAGATAAACTTGCTAGTGGATTTGGTGCTGCTGCACGGGTAGGCTGTATGGCAGTAATGAGTCGACCGTACTGTATGTAAAGAAAAGAGAGAAAAATATCATCTATATCTTCTACATCATCATTATTAAAGCCAAGTTAAGTAAAATAATTTTAGTTTTAAGATACATATTTTTTACATTACTGTAACATATTCCTCTACTTGTTGTTTTAATGTGTATTACTGTACATTGTTTTTTATTATAAAATGTGGTAACTGTATGTATTGTATTTTTGTGTGTTGGAAACCTACAAGTATCATCTTTTACAGCAATTTCTAGAACCAATCCCCCACGAATGGCAAGGGATAACTGTACACCTTACTGAATGCTGTTATAGCAGTCGTTTAGTTATTGCAATGGGTTCTGAAGCACAAGGCTTAGATACATGAAAATACCATAAGTTACTACTGTTTTAATTTCAGGATTCCCCTATCTTTAATACTGTAAATCTGTTTAAATTGCTAGTATCTTCAGCATAATGTTGAAGGTTAAAACACTTTTACTCCTGTTACTGTGAGCTTCATATCGGTTTCACTCACCCTCTTCCTTTGACTTTGCTTTCCTAATGCATTTTTGGGATTTTTGTTTTCTTTTTTTGTACGAAAGTAAAATATTTAGTCAAAAATACATCGTTTACAGTATCCTTATTTGTAATTTGAAGCGACAGAGATGTTAAACTATGGATAAGAAGTGCCTCTTCTATTATAAGTACCCCAGTCTTTAAATATAAATTATGAATATATCAACATGTGTGTTAAAATGAAATTAAATGGAGTTATAAGATCTTAATTTATATTTTTCAGTTTTGATGTCCATAAGAAAAGTTTATGTTCATATATATGTAAATTTTTAAAATGTGTACATAGTCTATAGAACAGTTTGTTCTTTGTTATTAATGACATTACCATTATAGTGTAGAGGAGAGGCTTTTTTCACCAATTTTTAATGTTTATCACCCAGATGAAAGTAATGTAATGATATTGTTAGTGAGCAATTTTTTCGGGATTAATAGTTAACTTTACTCATCTTTTGTTAAACCAAGGTATTGGCTGATCAAAACATTTATTGATAAGCTAATTTGGTTAAAAACTTTACCTGAAACTGATTTTTTCTTAATAGCATTTTATTGATAATAGAATTTAATAAATATAATTTTCCTATCTTGCTCAAAATGTAAGTTTTATGTGGTGGTGTTTGTTAATATTAGGAAAGAACATGTTATTTTTATACATATTTGTCAAAGTTAACCAATCAAAGCAGGGAAAAATTTTATCTGAGAAACGTATTAGTATAAAACTTGTTAGAAAAATGCTGCTCGTATATCAAAACTTCTATGGCAAGTTAATTATTAATTGTTGTTGAACATGCAACTTTTCTTATTTAGGTACTAAAACATTCCAGCCTGGATATTTATGTGTAGTAGTCCTGTGAAAGTTGAAGTATACTTTGTATATTGAAGTGTTTGTTTAAACTTTTAATTTTATTATGTCATAATAATTTATTGTTTTTTTCAAGCTATATAGTTTGTTTTTTATCATAATATGAAGTAGTCAACCTCCCCTCATGAGACGTTTGTGATATATGAAAGGCAAAATTTGTTTAGTTGTTATATGAAAGGCAACATTTATGTTTAGTTGTTATATGAAGGGCAACATTTATGTTTAGTTGTTATATGAAGGGCAACATTTATTTTTAGTTATTATATGAAAGGCAACATTTATTTTTAGTTCTTATATGAAAGGCAACATTTATGTTTAGTTGTTATAGGAAAGGCAACATTTATGTTTAGGTGTTATATGAAAGGCAAAATTTATGTTTATTTGCCATATGAAATGGAACATTTATGTTTAGTTGCTATATGAAAGGCAACATTTAAGTTTAGTTGTTATATGAAAGGCAAAATTTATCAAACTTTTCTGAACTTAAATGTCTAATGTCTTTATGAAGAGTAATATCATTGTTTTAATTTGATGTGATTTTTTAATGGGTATTCTGTACCAATTTTTTCTTTACTTTAATTACAATAGTTAGTTTGTGATTACATTTCATGATGTAGAATTTTCTTCCTTAACTATTAAAAATCTGTGTTTGTATCAAGCTTATGGATGTTCGAGCCGAATAACAGATTTTTATTAAATTTGTCATATATTAAATGTAATTATATTTTTTTTCTTATGAATGGTTTTGTTTTTGGACAGATGTGTTGGTGTGTGGGAAATGTGGTACAGCTTTTAATAACATTCATTATTTCATCGACCATAAAACATCGGCATGCAAGTCATTGGAAGGCGCAATATCTGTCAATGAATCAGATTCAGACTCGAAAGGTAAGAATTCTGAATATTAATCGCTATTATAAATTGTATGTAAAAGTAGTTGAAATTAAATGTTAGGGATTTATGTGTGAGGTTACATACTTTGAAATGTTGGGTGTATGCATAATTTTAATTTATAAAGAATTGATTCAGTATGAGAAGTGTGAGCTTTAAAAAGAATAAATGGATCCCACTCCCAATATGGATCCTTGGAAGCAAATTTGTCTAGCTCCTACTCTTGAGATGGCATATTGACTTGTTAGTTGCTTGTTTTTTTGGCAATGTGTGTATATTTATCAGCCTAACGTTATATTCTGAAAATATATTCCATATTTTTTATAGCCAATGCTTGTAACTTAATTCTAACCAAAATTTAGTGCTTGTACTAGGTTTTGTAAAGGTCCTTAAAAGTCTTGTTTTAAGCCTTGAAAATGAGAACTTTTTGGAAAAATATTTGAATTTCATATTTTTGGATAGTTGTTGATGATTTTTGTTACCTTTATTTTTATGCATGTTCAAGACTGACCATGCAGTGATAGCATGTCATTGTGCTTAGCATGATTAGAATATCTGTCCATCAAGGGCTGACCAATGTGACATCTAATAAGTATGTTTAACACCCCAAAACTTACCAGAAATCCCTTTGAAAAATGTTGCCATAAGATCTTGATAGTGTGCCATCCTCTTTATTAACTATACTGTTACTCTTGCTACTCCACCATGATATAGGTATAGTGTAAAACAACAGTTTTTAGAATGATACACAACCGCATTTCATTAATCAGAAAAAAGACGAGCACGCTAAAAGTTTCCAATTTTCCAGGAAGGTTGTAACTATAAATAATAAATACTTTGTGATTGGCTATGGAAAAACTAACTATTGGTCTGATTATCAGTGGTTCAAGTTGGTCATTGTATTTGAACATGGGAGAAAATGTAATTCTTATGTTGCTAAGTTGAATAGCATTTGTTTCAACCACTTCAGTCATTAAGAGAAATGTACCAAATCCTTTTAACCAGAGTGCTTTCAGAGTGTGAACCTTTATTCATATGGGGCAAACTGATGAAGAAAGGTCCATCATTCAAAAGCATTCAGTTTATAGGTTTTTTTTTAAATGTCTTTAACCCTTTCAAGACAGGTCACTGGTGAAAGGCCATGTCATCTCTTTAAAAAATTTTATTGAACTACTATTTCATGAATTTATGTCAATAAGTTTGGTTTCAAACTGCAGATTATAATTCAAATTTTAATACCGTATATTACTCAATTTCTTAATTTAAAATCAAATGTTAAAAATACAGATAAACATCGATTTTGTGTGTCACGTGGTATGTTG